CATGATTATTTTGTTCTACTACACAATTCTATCTTTTGATTTTCATATCCAAATTAGTAAACAATTTGAAAATCTTTTGTCAAATTTCCATAAGCTATTGTAATTATAGTTAAATATTTGAGATTAGTTCCCTTCCTTAAAGTATGCATCTCTTTTTCTCATTCCTATGAATATATTTAAAACTTACTTTGTATTACATAATATACTCATTTTCTAATTTAACACTCTGAGTACAAATTAAGGATAAGTGATGTTAGAGTCCAGTTCTTAAAACCATGTCTGTGTTAGAAACTTTTCACTTAGCATATACAATAAAAAGTTAAGAAAAAAATCACCTCGAAATTTCATGTATTACTTGTCTTTTGTTCAACAAGGTAGGAGAAGTTCTTTTTAAAGAACTTTCACCAATATGACTAAATTTTATTTGAAACCCTTTCCTATAGGGGCAATACCGTTGAAATCTGTGAAAGGTTGTATAACAGCAAGAAATGGGATTTTTGATGTATTAAAAATTAGAAGAAAGAGTTGTACTTGTCCAGAATACACACACAGACTCAGACACGTGCGCACGCGCACACACGCGCGCGCACACACACACACACACACACACACACACACACATTTATTGTTGTTAAGTGTCATCAAGTCATAGAAACTCATAATGATGTCACTTCTCCATGTTCACAGCGTTTCCGGAGGCAAGCCATTGTGGAATTGGATGCCACTCCTGCTTCCAAGCTTATTTTAATCGTGGCGCCCCACCAAACACTGTCCACCATGGGTAACCATTATCGTATTTGGCACATCAGTGTCACAGTGTTTGCATCACAGCAACCATGAGTTACCTCTATACAGCAAAAGGATAGAGACCAGTGCTATACCACTTAGAAGACTGTTTGACAAAAAAACAATTCATATATATATATATATACACACACACACACAAACACATGTATACACACACACACACACACACACATATATATATACTCACACTAACACATTTGTTGTTGTGTACCATAGAGTCAGAACCAACCCTTAGCTGACCCTCCAGCAGGTTTTCAGAGTCAGTTAATGGTACAGGAGATTGTTCATCATTCTCCAGCAGAGCAGGTGTGGCCATGAAAGTGGCACCATGTGAAATGATGGTCAATTTCTTACCTTGTGAATTTAACACTCTGAAATTCAATGAAGGGTTAACTTACAGTTCTATCTCAGTGGCAATGAGACAAAGAGGGACATTTTGTTAACTACATTGGAAGTGTTGTCAGGGGGGCCATCCTTGTAAAAAGATATCAAGCTGGGAAAGGAGGAGAAACAGAGAGAGGAAGAGTTTCCAAAAAAGTGGATTAGCACAATGACTGTAAGGATGGGATCTAGCACATCAGATATTATCAGGATGTCACCAAATAGGGCAAGTTTCATATACGTTGTCCATAGGGTTGCTCTTAGTCATAGTTACTTCAACAACACCTAACAATAACAACAAAAGCAATTTACAGATTTTAATGTAAGCTAATGTTTTAAATTTTTAAAAGATTTCTTTTATAGAGGCGTAATCTACTTTATTCCCTAAACAATAATCCATTATCACATTCTGTAGACATCTTTATAAATTTTTTCAACATATCAGCCAAAGGACAGTTTCTAAAAGTGAGGGGGAAAAAGAAAATAAATTATCAATATTAACATAAAATTTGGGGTTCAACAACAGCACATGAAAACAGAACCTTTAAAAAGAAATATAAATTCCTCAATTCTCAAGGATATTTCCATTTTGATTATTTTTAAGTGAACTGGGATGTGGCGGGGAGGGCTGGGTGGGAAGAGATGCAGCAATGAATGAATGGAATTCCAAAACCTCTGTAAATGTTCATTAAAATTATTTAAAAAATTTAAAAAATGAAGACACACACACACACAAAAGAAAACAATAGAAAATATTTCTGCTACAAAATTTACAGTATTTTATTATTGATCAGTTGACTTCTAAGGAAAATTCTATCCTTATAAAGAAGTCCTATAGAAAATTTTTTCATGTTTTACCTTTGAAAAATTATGGGGTTTTGTACATTGTTGTTTATTTTTTGTTTTCTACCTTAGATAGATACATTTTCATGTATATAAAAGAAACTAAAATATACTTGAACAAAGCATAAAAAAAATATTTAACAATTCTGTTAAGGATCAATTCTAGCTAGAGTAGGAACGCACACAATTTGAAGAGTCAGGTATTTATTCTCATAAAAGCAATGAAATGAATGCAAGAATTTCCTAAATGGGAAGCTAAGTGTGTTGCAATATTTAATGAACATGTGAGCCTTGCCCAGTCTCAGGAGATAAATAGCAGATTAATGAGTTACAGCTTTAAATGTCATACCTGCAATGCAATGTCACAAGGGAGGTAACAGGTGTCACATGTCCAACAAGAGTATATAAGCCTAATTGTACTCATCCTGACATTCACACCTTCTTGAACAGCAAACTAAACTCATCAACTCTGACAACATGAGCTACTACGGCAATTACTACGGAGGCCTGGGCTATGGCTTTGGCGGATTTGGCTCTCGCTATGGATGTGGTTGTAGCAGCTTCCACAGACTGGGCTGTGGCTATGGGGGCTATGGATATGGATCTAACCATGGAGGCTATGGATACGGATGTAGCCATGGAGACTATGGATTTGGCTCTCACTGTGGAGGCTATGGATATGGCCCTGGCCATCAAGGCTATGGATATGGGTGTTGTCACCGCCCATCTTTTCTCAGTGGATATGGCTTCTCCGGAGTCTACTGAAATGCTGTCATGGGAACCCAGACTGAGGCCATCTATGGTTACCCAAATCCAACTCCAAAGATTGGAATCGAAAAAGATAATAATTGAGAAAATCAGAATAAAAAATATCTAACATTTAAGACTTTCAGGATATTTTTTCTTCATTTTTCCTTATTTCTTTTACTTATACTTTCATAAGTGGGATATTTCTCAGGCTTTATTATAATAACTTACTTAAAGAGACAATATACATGACTTGCTATTTATTTCTAAGGTATCAAAGAAAATATAAACAATTACACTAAACAAACCTAAAATATGCAGAGATGTGCTTACATATGTTTTTGTCACTTGTGTGCATGTATATGTAGATAAAATACGTGGAATTAAACTGGAATCCTTATTCACTGTTAGTGGGAGTAAAAAATGATGCAATCACTCTGGAAGGCAGCATGGCGTTTTCTCAAAACATTGGAAATAAAAATACCATTTGAGCCAGCAATTCCACTACTGGAGTTTACCCGAAAGAAACTAGAACTGCAACTCAAGCAGATATATGCACACCCATGTTCATTGTGACTTTGTTCATAATAGCAAAGAGTTGGAAACAACCTAAATGCCCATCAACAAATGAATGGATAGAGTCACTGTGGTATATTCACACAATGGAATACTATGCTGCATTGACAAACAAAGATCTCATGAAATATTATACAAAATGGGTGATTATGAAAAAACAAAAACAAAATAGGTGACTGTGGAGGACATTATACTGAATGAAATACCTCAGTCACAAAAGGATAAATACTGCATAGTCGCACTGTTATAAAATAGGACTAAGATTGGGGTTAGGGGGAAACCTAAGAAAAGAGGAGATAAATAATGACTACTGACTGCATTGAAACAGATGAGGGAGAGAACTGTTCAAAAGGTATATAGGATTAGGTATTATTTTCATGACAAGATTCCAGAAAAAGAAATGCATATTAAAGTGGACTGTGCACTCAGGGTGGGAGGGATTGTATAACAATGAAAGACTTTTTGTTTTCTTCAAAGAGAAAAATGAACTGGGTGGGGAGGGATGGGTAGGGAGGAAAATGTGCAACAATGAGTAAACGGGGAAAATTAAATGGAAAGAATATGCTGTAAAAATATATGTTGCATTAAAAATAATTGATAAGAAATCATTTAATTAAATTTAAAATAAAAAACAACACTGGAGGATCAACTATGAGTCAGTTCTAACTCAACATCAAGAATACTGGCTCCACAAGGGAAAGATGGACAATCTCTTTCTCTGGGGTTTTCACTCTCTGGAAGGTTACCTATGAGTTCTTTCCAACTCAACAGCAATGACTTCGAGATTTTGAGGTTGTTGATATGTGCCATTGAATCACTTGAGGCTCTTAGTGCCCTGATGTACAATAGCTCTAAACCCAGTTTAAACCATGAGACAGTATCACTGTTTCTGGCACACTTTTGCCTATTATCCCCACACTGTCAATCCATCTTCTTCTGGGTCTTCCTCTCTTGTGCTGTCCCTCCACTCTTCCAAGCATGATGTCCTTTTCTAAGGACTGGTTCTTCCTGGCAACATACCCAAAGTATATCAGACAGAGCTTCAAAATCCTTGTCTGCAAGGAAAAGCTTGATTTTACTCGCTCCAAAACAAAACTGTTTGTTTTCTTGGCAGTCCATGGTATGTTCAATGTTTTTCTAAAGCAGCACAACTCAAAGGCAGCAATTCTTTTCTTATCATTATTCATTGTCCAGTTCAATGCATAGCAAGTAATTGCAAAGATCATGACTTAGATAAGGTATGCTTTAGTTTCTAGTGTGACATAATTACTCATTA